AGACTAGGCAAGCCCTTCCTCAATTCTCTTTCTCTCTCACGCGCGCGCGCGTTTTCTCTCGTTCCGTCTCTCTCGTTGCGACTTCCTGTTTCTATCTCGTGTCTGCGTCTCGCTCGGTTTCCTTCACACCCTCGGCTCTAGGCGTAGTACGGAGGGAATATAGATCTTCGTCGGTTAACTGACTTGGTTTTAAGGAAATTAATTCTCTGTCATTCTTGGCATTATTTTGTTGCATAGAAATATATTAATGCTGTTTAAGTGCGAGTTTTTATCTCGTTTGTTTATGTTAGAGAAATTTTGTTTACTATTCGCTTTTTGAATTTTTACAAACTAATTGGATGTTGGCATGTTTCGTGTTTTAACCTTAGCCAACATGGATTGCTTAGCTTATTTGAATACAAGATAAAATCTAATCTATAATGTGCTCTTTTGTTTCCTGTTAATTGTTTTTAATTATTTTTTTGTCTTTGTTTATCTTTTATCTGTCTTTGTTTTCTATCGCCTGAAATAAAAAATTAACAAACTTGGGAAGAGACGAGAAACACGCAAAAATAGGGTGATTGCCATTCGTTCTTTCTCTCTACCCTTTTTTTAAGGATAATTATGAGTTTAGGAACTTGCGAAATTTTTTATTTTGACTTTTCTTCCTCGTTATTTTATATTGATTCTGATTTAATAGATATAGTAATCCTTAAGCTTAAGAAACTGACTAATCACAGTTGAATGTGAGGAGAATAATATGTGATTGGTCAATTTCTTATATTAAATTAGTACCACTAATGAATAATTAAATGTGAAATAATTAGTCGTTTAATTCTGATCAATTAAATTTACTAATCTACACATATTCTCATATGCGTCCAGAGTTTAAAGTGAAATATTCAGGGTTTTTAGCCTGCAAATTATTCTAGTTTTGAAAATTTTAATATGGCAACTCTAGGCAAGAAAGAAGATGATTGTCGATAAAATGATTGCAAAAGAAAGAGAGGCAAAATGTAAGCAGGAAGAAAAAGTAAAAAGAACTTATTTTGTTTATATGGAAATTATAAAATTATATGGCTGTTATTTTGATTGTAGACTAAATGATTGTTTCCTTATTCTCATAAAAACATAGAAAATTTCTAGATTATTCTACAAGATTGCCACAAAACTAGAAATCAAGAGTTATGAGAAATGTTAGAGAAATTGAAAATGGTCAAGGAAATCAGTCAAAGTTTGGAAATTTCGCAGAATTTTCTGAAAACTTAAAATTCTTACCTGGTAAAAAAGTTCAATATTGGTATATCACACCTATAATTTACATTGTTATATTAAATTGTTCTTTAACAAAATATTTAATTTTCTAAATCAGAAACCAAAGATACAAAAAAATTCAAAATATTGAAAATCAGGGAAAATCCAAAATTTTGTCTGAAAAAGTTATAGAATTTTAAGAAGAGGAATTTGTGACAACCTTCTGTAATGCTTGCCGTGAATTTTTTTCCATGTATTTCGTTCAAATTGTATATAAATGCATCATCTTTTACAGGATAATCCCACGCCACTTGCAATTGGCCATTCGTAATGACGAAGAATTGAACAAATTATTGTCTGGAGTGACCATTGCTCAAGGTGGAGTCCTGCCTAATATCCAAGCGGTTCTGCTGCCGAAGAAGACTGGTACCGGTGGCTCTGGAAAAGGCGACAAGGCGTCGCAGGAATATTAGATTATTACACGTTTATAACTTTAACCGTAATTCTAGAGACATGCCTTTATTTCGCAAAACTGGAGGAAAAGGAACGAATGTCCTTATAAATCTGTGCAACAGAGCTGGTTTTACATGGTTGACGATAAAAAATTATGGAGATTGATAACAAACATCGGTTGCAGCAGAGAAAGCAGCTTTGCTACTGTTAAATGCTTTGATATGATTTGATCTTGCCTTTAGTTCCTCATTGAAACAAAATGTATAAACCAATCATATAAAAGAATTTTATAGTTGCAAAGCTACTTTCTCTGCTGAATGCTTAGCCATTACATTATCATATTAATTTCCTTGTTATTCCATCAATTTTTATGACTTTAGATCTGTGAACGTTCTTTTTTATCTGTCTTTTATTTTAATTTACACCACTTGCACGCGAATTTTTATTACATTTATATGGAGTTAGGTTCGATTTTTATGTTCTCTGCTAAATGCTATCCGTTATCAACGGATACCAGTTGAAAGTATTTTATTTAATTAATAATTGTCATCTTAAGGTATATTTGACAACTATGTCTCGGTTAGAAACTGAGAACGGTAATCGAAATTTCTATTTTAATTTGAAGATTACGTAACTATTAATGAATTATGCATGTTTTATTTATGATACAATTTTATCTTATTTAAATGCTACTGTTATACATATTTCCTACACGCAAATATAAACACATTTCTCTTTTATTCCTTTATTCTAATTTTAGTCTTTAGCCTCATTAATTTTATTCTGATTCTACTGTATATCCTATTAATGAAGATTTGATTGAAAGATTGTATTAGTGCTTGAATGTTTTTGTTAAATGTAAACGATATTGATGCAAAAATAAATAGCATTGCGTCCCTATGTGAAGTTCAATTCGCAGATGCGTGTAATCCTCATTTAAATATATGAAAATAAAACTTCGTTATAGAACTTTTAACATTACACATTCCGTTGTCAGATACCTTTTATCTACATTTATAATAACAGTCATAAATGAAAAGACCGAATCTTTTTCATTGCAATTTTATTGTCTACCATTATTAACGGAAGATTGTAATATTATTTTGTATTTATATTTTTTACGGAATGTTATTAAACAGTTCTCTAATTTAAAATTGACGCTCGTGAACCTGTCGCCATCTCGGAAGCGATTCGAGCCTGCGTTGGAATTTGGAATCACTTTGAGTAGTGGAGTGCAAGTAGCGCGTCGATTCGACGTGACATTTAACTTTTGGACGACTGTTCGGCCAGAACGACTTTTTCAAGGTGGTTCATTCGCCGAACGCGGCAGCGAGCAGCGCGAAATGTCGTCGGGCGTGATAGACATCCTTGTAGACATGGGTTTCAGCATGTCCAAGGCGTAAGTTCGCAGATAAATGTCGCATTGTCGAAGCATAACCTATGTTGACGATTCGACGGTTTTGTTACAGCGAAAAGGCCTTGGAGATAACCGGTAACAAAGGCGTGGAGCCGGCTATGGAATGGTACGAAGACGTTGTTATTGTAATTTTCGTCGCGTAATTTATGATGCTATCGATTTGTTATTGTAGGCTGTTGGCCCATTCGGATGAGGCTGAACCAGGACCAGCCGTAGGCGAGAGTGCTCCGACGCTGTCTACCGATTCACAGGACAACGTCGCAGGTGCTAGCAGTCAACCGGTTTCCACGACTGAATCGGCGAAGTCTATGAAGTGCGACGTGTATGTTGATGAATTGCAAGGATAAGACTCTAATAGAGTTTTCCACTGAGGAAACTAGTGCAATACTGGTGTACACTGAGTACGATACAAAATAATTGATATTTTCAGTGTTAATAAATGATTTAATTCTTTTAATTACATATTCTCTATTATTATGATAATCTTATAACTTCGAAAAGAATTATGTTATTTATTGACACTGAAAATGGATATATCGATTTGCATTCAGTTGCATTAATTTTCTCAGTAGAAAAGTGCTATAAGGCTCTGTGTGTTCGGATAGACATTGCCAAAACTACTGAAAATCTATTCTCTAAAACTTTTAAAACAAATCTCACTCTTAAAGATTAAAAATTGAACTACTCTTTTCCGAAATTAGCTTAATTTTTATTCTTCTAGTGAAATTCTATATCAAAGAATTTAGAAAATATAATATACCTGAACTATAAATTATTATTATAGTATTGACAGTGTATTGGAGCACGATCAAATATTGGAATAAATGCTCCTTTAAGCATCAATTGTTGCGTTACGTTTTTGTACAGAATATCTATATCATTATCGCGTACAAAAGAAATGTTTACTTTGCAATTGTTAAAAATTTTTTTTGCGTTAATTGGATCTAGAAGGATAGTCTTATCTCAATGAAACATCCAATAAGTATATCTATTCTTTTCAAAATGTCTTTGTAGATGTGGAAAACTCTTCAAATCTAACTTAGAAGTTGAATTTCATGCCACAAAGTCTGGACACGATAGATTTTCTGAAAGCACAGAAGAGAAGAAGCCATTGACTGAAGAAGAGAAACGGGAACAATTGAAGATGTTGGAGGAAAAGTTGAGACAGAAAAGAAAGGAGAGAGAGGAGCAGGAAAAGAAAAATGCATTTGAAAGAGAAAAGAATAGGATACGATCGGGAAAGGAAATGTCCGAGGCCAGGAAAAAGTAAGGGACAAAATAACAAAATTGAAATAGAAAGAGCAAATCTGTATTTTATTTATATGTGTAATAGGTTGGAAGAATTAGAAATGCAGAAGCTTTTGGAGCAAAGAAAACGGGAGAAGGCGGAAGAAAAAGAGGCAAGGCAAAGAGTTCGAGCACAAATCGAAGCTGATAAAGCAGCAAGACGAGCTAAAGCAGCTGCTGAAAGCAATCAAGTGGTTAATACAACTTCAGTTTCATTATCCGCAATACCTTCATCTACGTCTACGCATCATAGGAAGGATTACACCGAAACCAGGCTTCAGGTATACAATATAAAATGCGTATGAAATAAGTAAAAAAAATATGTAGACCATGTATTCTTCAAACAATTACATTTTAGCTTAGGCTGACCAATGGACAAACTTTGACCCAAAGCTTTGGAAGCAAGGAACAATTGTCTGCAGTGAGACTGTTTATTGAAATGAATAGGACAGACGACAATGGTCCTTTCCAACTGATGACCACGTTTCCCAAAAAAGTGTTTACGGATGAGGATTACGATACGCCATTGGATGTATTAGGTATGCTGTATTGATAATTTATTGTTATATATCTACATTTCCATATAACTTATAATAATTTCTATTATTGCTTATTGATGCAAGGAGTGCAATTCTATTAATTAATTATGCAATTTTAACAGCTGTAATGTGATAATTCATTGTTATTGTGATTATATTTAACATATTTAGTATATAAAAACTTTTCTTGAAGATATGGCACTTCTTTTACTTGCAGGCCTAGTACCCTCAGCAGTCGTGATCGTTCAGAAGAAGACGGAATGATGTAGCCAGTAATGCCCTAATTTGTAAGCAAAAATGCTAATGTATATTATCATACAAATTAATTATAAGACATTCACTCTAATATAATGATATTCTTTATGATAAATGATAAACTCGTGTGTGATATACGAATTTCTTTTTTGAAACTGATTTCTGTATAGTCTGTTTCTTTCTTAACGGTGAATATTTATTGCATTTAAAATAACATTACGATTAAAAATTAAATGATGAACAATTTAAGGCTTGTGCATTAATATTTAAATTTTCAATTGATCTGCTGTTTTCATATTTTTTGAATCGTATAAGTATTGAATCATACAAGTATTATTTAATCTAATAATTATTTTAATTATTTTATAGACGACGTTTTAACCTGAAATATATTTCTAATATTACTTAAATATTGATACTTTTAATATTTTTTAAATACGAATTAAGAATGCTAAAAATTACATTGTTTAACTCATAAATATTTGTTCTTAGTTTCTCACGATAAATTATTTTGAAATTGATCTGTATGTCATATATGTGATATGATATTATTTATATAATTTTATCTAGGTTGCACACACATGCATATAAATATTATGCCTTTAATTTTACCATTATATTAGTTTTACGTTATATTGGTGACGTGGTACGATATTAGGATATATTATCTGTTGGGACCTATTACAGTTGGTAGGAAAATGATATATGCCATCACAATCTACCAGTTGTAATGCCTTGTTAAAACAAATTCTTATCTCATGCACATATGAATTTTTCGTTTTCTGAAAGAAAGTAAAGTATACGTTTGTAGTAAAAACTTATGTTTACTATTATGTTTTTTTTATATTGATAGTTTTCTTTTATATCCGAAAGGAACTATTCAAAACGACGTTTATCCATATTGGAACAATTTTTTAACTTACCTGGTCAACCACACACATTACTTGTCCCCTTTTATTTAATATCTTTTGAATTCCCGTTAAGTAATTTTGTACCATATATTTGTTACCTGGCAAGATATTTGATTTTGTAAGTACGTCTATCATATTGTATTTGTTGAGTAATTTTAAACCTGTTTGAAAATATTTTAATTCATTGTTTAAATCTCGTACTGAGATTGCACAAGTGCCGTGTTTATCCCATTCGTGTTTCCAGAACGAATAAGGTTTAGACCCTTTCTGTATATCGATCCAGTTTTCTTTTAATGCTCCTTCTATGGGTGCTAGAGCTTTTGAATCAAATGATAACGACCTATTACAAAACTGCGGACCTATTACGTTATATTTTGTAGGCCAAATTCCATGAATGGTCCACTCGTTACGTTTTGGTAACACGCATCTATGTGTGCTATTTAGCCGCGACTTGTTTTCCCATTCGAAACATACTGTCAATGGCCATCGCTGAGTAAATATCAGGACATCAAATTCATTGGATTTTACGTTTGTTTTCCCATTTTCGATCCATTTCCTATTAAAGTTAAATGAGAGAAATAAAAGTTACAATTTTAAATTACACTCTACATCATTTGTAGAATGCCGTTTAAGTGTTTAGAATTATATTTTGAAATTGAAAATCATTCGTATTGATTCAGATCTTCTATCTAGAAAAATCTACTAATAGCGTTTTTCACTGGCACAGCTGGTACGCACTTCGTTTAAAGTCGTACACAAATCAACATAAAGATGTACATTTAATAAAAATATAGAAATGAATTAAACCGCGAAATCCTCAAATATATATATTTTATTGTGCTATTTGATAAAATATACATTGGGTATTTTATTAATTGGGATATCTCTGTACTTTTACATTCAAATTAAGTTAGCAGTACAATAGCTTTAATGTGCACTGAGTGCGAACTAGTTCTACCAGTAAAAAACGCTATTAAATGGGTCGATTCACGTGATCTCTTTGATTGAGTCAAAGAATAGTTCGTTTTGCGTGAGATGTAATCAATTGAAATAATTGGAAGTTATATGTATGTGTTATGTCGATAAAATCTCAGTAAAATCGACAGAATTTGCATTAAAACATGCATTAATAATACTTGTTAACATCTGCGTGCCACGTGTATAACAGGTGTGCTAACGATACAACAGTTTATCTTCACTTAATAGATATAATTGATTACTTCTAAAAAAAAAAAACGATTGTGTTGTAACACACGCGATTGTAAATCAATTGCGCTTCAATTATAATATCGAGGTACAGATAAATAATCTTATCATTCCTGTCGACCTTCAAAATTTAAACAAAAATTGATTAATCATTAAAAATCATTGATTATTAATCGATATTATGATTATTAATCGAGATTATGCCTATTACTTATAAATATTTAATATTATTTTCTTCAGTTATCGGTGTGTTGACCAAACAAGTTAGTTAATATTGATAGAATATTTCAAACAATTCATTTTGTTGCCTTTATCATGATATACATAATTATATGATGTACATAATTGTACTCACCCATGTGTGACGCACATTAGATAAAACAAGACAATACATGATATTATGCTGTACTTGCACATTCTGCTAAGAAGAAAGAAACCGTTCTGTGCGAAAAGAGAGAGTGGAGACTGACCTGGGAAGCAACGGAATTAATGGCACTTAATACTCCCACTACTTTTTTCCCACCACTATCTTTATCGTTCTTTACATTGTTCGCAGCAGATGGCATTTTTTACCTGATCTTATGGATGGTTTGAACAGCTACATCATGAAACTTGTATTTTCACTGCCACATGTACAATTATAAATAACATATTTCTTATTACGAGCGTTAATTAAATATAATTACTATTTATAAAACATTTTTTAAGCTTGTACAATAAATTTTAGATAATTTCCATGTAATGTATCTCTTATAATCTATCGCGTTAAATAATCGCGTATAATAATTATTTCTAATTATTTTTATATACTTATAATTATTTCCTGTTTGAAAAATAATTACGGTCCAATTTAAAGAGAGCGTATATGTAACATTAAGGATATAATTATATTTTATTAAAAATTTTATTTTTTTATATTGAATAATGTGAGAATGAATGAAAATTTGCTGGAATTAATGTACATAATAACTGCGCATCAAATTTAACATCATCTATTTCTATCTACATTTATTACTTGATATTGTCTATGACGCGTGTCCAAAGATAAATAGCATTTATTACTGTGCCAAGCAGCATACTTGGAAAAAATTCTAATGAACTTGTAATCGAATAGGCGTGTTGGCAATATAAAGACATAATCGATGGCATTAAGTGACATTGCCATCTCCTTTCATTATATTTCATAATCGTTTTACAGCGAAATCATTTTTTATACTTTAGATAATCGGTGTTACAATACAAATTTTATGTTTGATGATTATGAGTTTTATACAAAATTAAATTTAATTTAATGTTTTAAGGCTCTAAGTAATCAACTAACAACTTTGCGTTGACGGTAGCTATCACACCACTGTCTGATTTTATGTCGCCATATACACAAGCACAAACCCATGTAAATGTGCTCTCATTACGCCAAAGCACATATACGTGGGCTCGTGCTTGTTATGTGTTAGGGCTTTAAAATTGATTCAGATTTAAAGCTATATCCGTTTATCCGAATTACGAATAAATGTGATGTTTCAAATTCGGGTTATCCAGAGATTTGAATTTTCTAAGATATCCAAATCTCAATCCGATTAGTAAAAGTCGAAATCAGATCCGGTTCTTAGATTTGATTCTGGATTCGTAGTAAACTTATAGCGAATTTAGTTGGGTGCATTAATGCGGACTGCATATTAAAGTAAATTATATTATACACTTTAATCTAAAAAATATAAAAGTGAAATATAAATATTTCTCTTATTAGCCTAGTATATCTTTGATATTACTATTAACATTGAGAGTCTGTTTTAAAAAAACAAAAAAGAAACATTTATATTTATAAACACTATTAAATTTCATAGGACGTATATGTGAGAAATATATAAAGAAACAAATGTTTTAAACGGCCTAGCTGAATTTTAAGTACTTGTATAATTCTGTATGAATCTATATTTATATTTTTTAATTTATTTTTTCCAATTATGTGAATCAAAATTTAATTTTTATTTAAAAAATAACTTATGTTAAAATTCATTAAATACATCGATGTTTTCTTTCTTTCTGAACATGGATCTAAATCCGGAGCCAAATTTAAATCTGAATCTGAATTTAGATCCAGATCCAAATTCAGATCCGCGGATCCGAATAATTCGGATATCTAGATTATCTAAATAATACGGATTTGAATTCTCGAATTAGAATTGATTTCGGAAATCCGAATATCTAGATATCCGAATACTTAAAAGCCCTAGACTGCAGCGTCTCGCCACGATAACTGGTTGAACTTATAGGCATGAAAAATGTGTTTGAAATTTTTTTCTTTCATGTCATTTCATTATTAAGTTTATTTATTTGTGAAACTGTGACTTCTCTCGTACTATCAAAGTCATAAAAATGAAAAAAGACTCAAGTTATCTTGGAATGTTATAAGTAAAAACATATTTTTCACTACTTTCGACAGCTGTCCTGTGTTTTCTACCGAAAAAGCCTTCACTTTATGTGCCTTTTGTGATTATTTATTGACTGTGAGGGGAAATAAGGAGAATCTTCAATTTTCATAACTTTTTTTCATAACAAAGCGATTTCATTATTTCGTTTTATCCAATTTCTCTTTATTTATAAATGGCATGCAAGAAAAATCAACGTGCCATTTCTCGCTTATGACGTCGTGATTCCAATATGCCGCGACTACTCAGGAGCTTTAATATAGACTATACTGAAAATCTATAGTTTACGTTATGTGCTCTATAGATTTTCAATACTGATAGTAAATTTTGGAACACAACCATAGTAACATAAATTTTTTTTATAGAAATATCTTTAGTTATTCTTCGAAGTAAAATACAATATTTTCGTTTTGACGATATAAAAACAGAAATAAAAAGATTCAATTAATTTTTTATTTAGTAAAAATTGTACAATGATTTATCTATTTTTATAAATTATTCTATTTTTTTCTTTTTTATAATTAATATCACTTTTGACATATCGTTGTATCGACAATTTGATGCTTTGTATGTATCATATTAAATATTAAGTGCATGTTTACACATTAAGTGCATATTTTTAGAATACATTTTATTTGCTTAAAGAGTATTGAGCGTATGATGTCGACACGTCACGATACAAAATGAAAATAAAATACGTAACTAACGATAATCATATAAAATTACGTGATTTGAGGAGTTTTCCAATTATCTGAAGCATCTGGAAAGTTTTGTTTGGTTGCACCCTTTGTCTCAACAAATAATATAAGATTCCTCTAGAAATAAATAAAATGACGAAGAGAGCAGTTAGATCCAACCAGAAATTCGGAGGTGTTTCTTGTCCTGAAATGCAGACGAATTTGCTAAACATTTATAGATTATTATCGAGATAGAACTTTCAGTAAACCAGGGAATGGAATTAATTACTTGTAATGTCGTTACATTTCTTATTGTTATAATAATGATTTGGTAATGACGAATTTGATTTAAGAATGTAACGATAACATCAGAATTGGAAAGTCATTCAATTGTTACTTGTAATGAATTGGAAATCACTCGTTACTGAAAAAATTAATTGTAATTTGTTACTTTTTAATCATTACTTGTAATATTATTCGTTTCCCATTACAAATGATCTTTTTCAGTAACACAATAAACACATAATGATGCAAGTTATTTTTTAAAGTGACTTTCCCAATCTCTGACTTAGCACAATCTCAGCGTTTAGTTAATTATCATTAGTTATAAAAAATAGTCATAAAAAATTGCAACATCATTTTGTTATTATAAAAAGTAACGGAATAGTAATTCTTCTATTCCCTGCAAAAAAATCGTGTGCGCGATGTGCAGTAATAATTATTAGAGTGATTGAGCAACTTTCAGGAAAAATTAGAGTTCTACCTATAATTCGCAAGATTTCCTTAGGTGAGCTAAAATGACAGTAAATTTCCTCTGGCGGACAATGTAATCTCTGTCTGCCGTAACCGTACATGGCTGTTGTGAGAGCTTCCATTCCATATCGAATGTAGCTCATGTACATGGGAATCGTACGATAGAGAGGTAGAGGCCTCGAATCACCGAAATCTTGCACCGCGACTAACATTAACGGACAAGTTAACGCAGTTCCAGCGAATACACTATTCTGAAAAGATAAAACGAACAGATTATTCATTGATTTTTAAGAGCTTTTCCTTTTTTTTCGCGATGCAATCTCGAACGTACCACATTACTAAACACACTAGCGACGTTGCATCCTATACTTTCCGCGATGAAGGAACATATGAAGCAAGTACTAAAGAACATGGAGCTTCTGTGCAATTCCAGAGGTTGTCCCGTAATGAAGTAGACTATTGAGAGATATAAAACTGCGAAACTTATCTGGGAAAGAAATAAGAATGATTTTTAAAACGTTTGGATAGATGAACACACAGATGGGATTAAGCTGAAGATTTAATATTTTAATTTATAATAATGGAAAGTTTAAATCCTTTCCATAAAAATTGCAACTATAAAAGCAAGGAAATAAAAATCTATATAGGGATGATTTTTCTCGAGGAGACTAAGACTTGATTCGGACTATAGTGTCAACCAAAGAATTTTACTGTATGAAATACTATGTAAAATACTATGTAAAAACAATTTTACAGAAAACCAACCTGTATAGGTATATTGATTATTGTTAAGGCCCAATAATACGCACTAAGGTCGTACCATTTGTTGAAGTGTTCCCGTTTCATTATCCGGATTTCCGAAGGAACTGCAATGAGAAAATAATAAATAATACCATTTCAAATTAATTTTTTAAAATAATGCATTTTGATAATTTCTATATTTTTATGAACAATAGCATTTTTAGGAAGACATTTAATTTTTATAGCAATTAATAAGTATCACTATTTAAATTTTTTTGTATGTCAGTCTTTATATTTATGATAATATAAATATTAAGACTATGACACGTAAAAAAATTTAAATAATAAGACGTAAGCAATAAACAAATCAACTGCTTATATTATTTACTTCTCTACTTTGATTAGTTCTTTCGTTTATTGTTTAAAATCTTATTGCCTTACTTTCTTTTGTGTATCATAGTCTTTATGCTGTGATTGTATGATGAATGCATTTTCTTAAGTAACTATATCGATAGATAAGATTTTAATTAGTCATCAAACTGTTTTTTATTTTCTTGTGCACCTATTCTAATTTTCTATGTGTAGAAAAGAATTTTTCCTTACATTGCAACAGCACCGGTAGCATGGGTATATACAGAAAAAATATCAGGCATGCGAAACAAAAGCCGAAATTGAAGAGAGCTTTGGTGCCGTCGTTGCCCATATTAAAAAACATCCCGCCGATCATTATCCCCAGAAAGATATGTAGAAATATCTTCATGTACATGTAATTCTGTAAACATTCAGATGAATCTTATCTTTGTGCAATCCGTTTTGGAAGAAGAGATCAAATATCTCAAATTTTGTTAGCGCGCTGTCTTAAGGAATGTCTACATATTTTCTTTAAGTATAATTTCTTATGTTTGAGTTGTTACAAATCATTTAGCTACTATATATACTAGTCAAAATTGTTAAAACAAAAAATCAAAATGATTTTATTTTGATTTTTAACGTCAATATACAATCAAATTTTGTAACAAAAAAAATCGTCATTTTAATTTTTTTTATGACGTAAAAATAAT